TCCCCGGATGACGGTGGCACCCTTGAACATTCCTTTAGCCTGGGTTCGCGCCGTGCCTGCTCTTGGCGGAACTCGCACTCTGCCAGATTGAAAGTTTTTACTTCAACTGTGATGTCCATACTTCCACAAGCATGTATTTTCCACCAAAGGGTTTAAATAGGGCATGTTTCTGAGGACTGAAATAGGACGAGTCCCTGTAACCCCTGCATGCCAGTAAGTTACATGAGACTTCTTGGTGGGGAAACAATTGAGCGATTCCGCTTTACACTTTTGTCCTCAATACTTTCAACCCTCATTGTTGAGAACCTAATGTGGTTCAGCATTACCCAGTGATTGAAAGGAAATAAAAATATTTAGAAATAGTTTTCATAACTCTACATGAAGATTGAATAATAGAGATAATTCATTCTATTTGTCATTGTGTACATATGGATCTTCAGGAAATGCTCAGCCTCTGGGATGTGTATTGTTATCAGATCATCCGCAAAAGATGTAACCCAGTTGGTTAACCTGGCAAAAGCTTAAATGGCAATAGTTTAATGTTGATGGATTCAAGATATGCCCAACCTAGACAGACTTGAGGGTCCTGTCAACAGTAACTTACACAGGCGACGTGCGAGTGAGACTGCGCAGAAATGCGTGTGTGACGTCATGCCTTTCTTCCATATAGCACAAAGTGCAAAGGTCAAAGTCTGTACATTTGGAACACTTCCAACGAATGCCTGCAATATCTTCCTCCCGACACCCGTCACACACGACACCCTTTTGTTGAACGGCTGAATGATAATCAAATAAATATATATCAAGTAACAGAATTCATGGCATGTTTGGGGAAATGCAGAAGGCCGGTTCAGCAATGACAGCAATCAGTTACTGAAGGCATGATCAACATTGGAACGTTGACATACAATCATGCCTATAGAGGTTCATATGATATCGATATAAACCCTGCCAGGTATTGTTAACATTAAACCAAACACAGTCACTTGCTCTCTGTTTATAAACAATACGAGTAGCATCAGCTACAGCTGTGAGGGTGACTGATAAATTCAACAAGTCACATTGATCGAAATACAATCTACATCGTCACAACACATTACGAAGGCCATTGAGTTGTAGACCCCACGTGACCAATGGCAGCTATATATGGCAGTATATTCAACTATTTTACATTTCAAAGGCCATTGAGTTGTAGACCCCACGTGACCAATGGCAGCTATATATGGCAGTATATTCAACTATTTTACATTACGAAGGCCATTGAGTTGTAGACCCCACGTGACCAATGGCAGCTATATATGGCAGTATATTCAACTATTTTACATTACGAAGGCCATTGAGTTGTAGACCCCACGTGACCAATTGCAGCTATATATGGCAGTATATTCAACTATTTTACATTACGAAGGCCATTGAGTTGTAGACCCCACGTGACCAATGGCAGCTATATATGGCAGTATATTCAACTATTTTACATTACGAAGGCCATTGAGTTGTAGACCCCACGTGACCAATTGCAGCTATATATGGCAGTATATTCAACTATTTTACATTACGAAGGCCATTGAGTTGTAGACCCCACGTGACCAATGGCAGCTATATATGGCAGTATATTCAACTATTTTACATTACGAAGGCCATTGAGTTGTAGACCCCACGTGGCCATATATGGCAGCTATTCAACTATTTTACATTACGAAGCATTGAGTTATTGACCAATGGCAGCTATATATGGCAGTATATTCAACTATTTTACATTACGAAGGCCATTGAGTTGTAGACCCCACGTGACCAATGGCAGCTATATATGGCAGTATATTCAACTATTTTACATTACGAAGGCCATTGAGTTGTAGACCCCACGTGACCAATGGCAGCTATATATGGCAGTATATTCAACTATTTTACATTACGAAGGCCATTGAGTTGTAGACCCCACGTGACCAATGGCAGCTATATATGGCAGTATATTCAACTATTTTACATTACGAAGGCCATTGAGTTGTAGACCCCACGTGACCAATGGCAGCTATATATGGCAGTATATTCAACTATTTTACATTACGAAGGCCATTGAGTTGTAGACCCCACGTGACCAATGGCAGCTATATATGGCAGTATATTCAACTATTTTACAAACTATTTGTACAGGTGTGTGTGTATCAACTATCAGAACAGTCTTAACTTGTGCATGAATACATGTAAGATGTCATGTCATACTAGCAGACAACCTGAGGCACGGTAAACAGTGGAAACTCCATGCACGGTGTGCACGTGTAGAGGTTAGTCATTCCAGAGTTATGTCCCTCTAATACAAGCAGCGTACAACCGTGTGTACATATACCTGATACCGTCCCAAGGTCAGTACGCTACAATATCCCCATTTTGTGTGTATAAGCAGAAGGTTTTCCTCAGACGAAGCTTACATGTTTGCGATCTGAATGAAAACGGGTCTCCCAAACTGTCCTCTGCCATCAATTTTAATTCACAGAATCGTTAAAAGAGACAAAACTGAGGAGCAATTTGTTCAACTCAAACAGGTGCATACAATGATATCGATTTTTGGACAGTTGGTGGATTTTCGTCCAAACTTGTCCTTATGAAATATTTTCATAAACAAACATTCGGTGGTGAAATACAGATCTGCGATTTATTTGAAAATCTATGTCAATCATAACTAAATTATATTTTAGATTTCAATTGAATTTGAAACGAGTCACCTGTTGGTCCTGAGTCAAAAACAAGCAAATCAAACTTGTCATTGTAGCCAGCGTTGTACTGAAACTCTCTGCCGGTGTCCCAAAGTACAGTCACGCGACCCTTGGTCGAGTCTACATTCAGGACGGTACCCACGTGGCCATCGCCGCCATCTTGGTCCTTGCCGCTCCATCCGGGTCCTCTCACTACACGTATGCCAGGACAGGGATACGGCATCTGGATAAAACAGATGATAGGAACGATATCAAATACGTCAGTGGTATAAGCCCATAGAAACAGACCCAAGTATGTACAGCCTGGTCTTAGGCGTTTACTGCTGTGCTGAACTGGGGCTCCTTTCACGAAGCAAACTTTACTAAGATTATCTTTAACTCCCATTCTTTAACATTGCACTAAGGTTACCTTAGTGAAGTACTGACTTACGATCACTTTAGTGCTTTGTGAAAGGAGGCTCTGGCACACTTATGACGCTGACAAACCGGGAAATATAGCCAGAAGAACCGGGATTGGAATCTACAGTTTCTGGCGTCACCAAGGAACGCAATCCAGCCAGGACTCTAAGACTACTGCCTGCCACTAAAATATGAGATGGGTGTAGGACAAGTACAAATAACACTGATGACACTACTTATCCAGTGTTCAGCATCGTGATTGCACTGTCTAGACTAATTAACACTATTCAACTGACAACGGAACATTACATCAATAAACTTTACTGAACAGTGACTACTCCGGTAAAACAGCTCCAAGAGATGATGCAATGACATATCATATAGGCTTTTGTGCTCGGTTGATCCAGAGGGCGGATCAACCGGATCAACTACTACCCTGCACCCTGCACCCTGCACAACGCCCACCCGCCCTCTGGATCAACCCCTACCCTTTTGTTTTCGTCCTGAAAGTTAATTAATTGACCATTGAAACTCGTAAAAACGGATGAAAATGAATTGTGCACACACCCCTCCAACACACACACACCCTCCACCCCAATTTCTCAAAAAGCTGTATCCGTCCCTGTTGAACAAACTCATGACATCAGCACGAATCCAGCTTAGAATGGACAGCTTAAGATCACTATTTAACAGTGATAGTCCACACTTCTGGTTGGGATTCCCCAGTTACAGTACCGTTTTAACCTATCCTACACACGGAGCGAAAGTTCCCAACGATTCCAACTTATTACTGGTCATTTGAAGTGGGACAACTGGTAGGGGCAATGTTTACTGTATACTGGGCATTTCACGTTACGGTAGAAACAGATTGGGTTATCTCCGATAGATGGGACTCTTTAACCAAACCAATGACTTTCCAAAATGTACATGTTCATACAGATAGAAAGCGAATTTGCCCGGTGTAATCGTGTAATTATCTTTTTGTATGCAAATGTAACATAATTTGATTCAAGGAACGGAGAAGAAGCATCAACCGGCAGACACCGATTCTGATCATTCTTCTTTAATCCTATGTGGTGTAGTGGACAGAGCGTCTGCCCGGAGAGAGGTGGTTTGATCCCCAGCTGTGTCATACCTACGACATGATATTTGATGTTACCCTGCCTGGCGGTCGGCATAATGGGGCACAACAGGCTCGGGACCTTGGTGTCTGAGTGGGATATCCATGCATATGTTATCTATGTAAGATACAGAAGCCTTACTACACGTCCTTGAAACAACATTTTTTTCTAAACTGTAACCCGTGTCGGGAAGTTCATAGACCCCGTGTCAAGTTGTAGGAGTTGTGACAGTTTGTTCAGTAGCAAGTTTATACACGTCTAGGGAGATATGCCCCTCGCGTAGTTTCCGGCGGCGACGACCAGTTCAGGCTGCACTGAGTGCACCTGTCTGTTGAATCGAACCTGGTTCTTTGACATTAACTAACGCTTTAACCATCACGTTTAACCATCACGTCGATTTCACTCACGTCTTGGTGAAAACATGATAGTTGCAATGTAACCAGCCAATCTTGACAGTTTTACGACATCAACATGAGCGGTTTCCGTGACCCCGGACTGTTATGGTGTCAAAGTACTTGGACTTGATCCAAGTTAACGATAGCTTGCTCTGGGTAGCCGCACAGTGTATCCGGGTTTGATATCTCCCAAGAATATAATTTGTAAAGCCTGTTTCTGCTACGCAGGTCCACTATGAATGCAATTGGAACCTCTGTAAGCTTTTTCATCGCAGTAAAAATGCAGTATCGTTTATTTTTTGTATTGTGCCTCATGTTTCGACCTCACAGGGGGTGTGATCTGACCCGTGAACACCTGTCTACCTGTTGTGTGACAATCACTTGCGTGAGTGAGGAGATCACCCAAGTCTTATCGGAGGCCTGTGTTCGAGCCAAAGTGTTATGGCTATGCTGAGGTAACCTGTATATCACCAAAAACTGGACCAGCAGAAGAGTCTGCAATGGTCAGTTCAGTAACATGAACTTTCACTGATGCATTAAAATACATTTTGCTGCTATATTGTCATTTACGCCCTGTGTTTCGCCAGATAATGGCGACTGTTCAATATCTGGTGTTATCTTTTTCCGTTCTTGCACTCATTGCAATGTTAAAAACATCTCATAATTTCCGGAAGTAATTACACTGAACAAGATGTTTTTCCGAATGTGGCGGCCAAGGATCCTGCATTCTGCCCATTAAACACAAACTGGTATCTCTGATCACCCACGCATGTGTAACACAAACTGGAAATATTGACAGCCATAAAACCACTCATGTGGAACTAGGCACAAGTCGGTGTAGACTGAGCTGGAACCGTGAACTGTTTACAAAGTAAATTTACATTCAGCTTCGTACAGTCACTGCATGAGATAATTATAGCTGAAGCCACGTTAAGTCACATGCAGCCACGTCGGTTTTATTTATAGCAGGGATTTTGTTATAAGGGCATTCCAAGAACACACATGAATATTTCAACCAGGACACGAAGTGGGAATACCCGGAATAACACATGAAAGATTGATTGATTGCTGTTTAACTCCGCAGTCAGCAATTTTCCAGCTATATGACGGCGGTCTGTACATAATCGATTCTGGACCAGACAACCCAGTGATCAACAGCATGAACATAATCTACACAAATCATTGCGTGTGTCTTTGCGTGTGTCATCGTGCGTGAGTCATTGCGTTTGTTGTTGCGTGTGTCACCGTGCGTGTCATTGCATGTGTCGTTGCGTGGGTCATCGTGTGTGTCATTGTGTGGCTCATTGCGTGAGTCATTGCGTGTGTCGTTGCGTGGGTCATCATTGTGTGGGTCATTGCGTCATTGCGTGTGTTGTTGCGTGGGTCATTGCGTTTGCCGTTGCGTGGGTCATCGTGCGGGTTATTGCATGAGTCGTTCCCTGAGTCATTGCATGTGTCGTTGCGTGGGTCATCGTGCGTACCACTGCGTGTGTCATTGCGTGAGTCGTCTCGTGGGTCGTTGCGTGGGTCATCGTGCGTGTCATTGCGTGAGTCATGGCATGTGTCGTTGCGTGGGTCATCGTGCGTGTCGCGTTTGTGTCGTTACGCAGGGTCATCGTGCGTCGCGGTGATCATGCGGCGTGGGTCATCGTGCGTGTCATCATGTGGGTCATCGTTCGTGGGTCATTACGTGGGTCATCGTGCGTGTCATTGCGTGAGTCATTGCGTTGGTCGTTGCGTGGGTCATCGTGCGTGTCATTGTGTGGGTCATCGTTCGTGGGTCATTGCGTGTGTCATTGCGTGGATCATCGTGCGTGTCATTCCGTGAGTCTTTGCGTGTGTCGTTGCGTGGGTCAGCGTGCGTGTCAGCGTGCGTGTCATTGTGTGGGTCATTGCGTGAGGCATTGCGTGTCCCTTTGTGTGAGGTATTGTGTGTGTCTGTGTGTACTATCACATGTGTCATCGCGTGAGAAGTTGTGTGGGTCATTCTGTGTGCAGTTGTGTGAGACAATGTGTGCGTACTTGTTTGTGTCATTGAGCGAGGCGTTGTGTCAGGTATTGTGTGTGTAAAGTATATTGAATCGCGAGAACCATGGGAACTGTTCAAGGGGTTAGTGTGAATTCTGACTTGCAGATTTGTCTTTTTTCGTTGAGCAAAGAAGGATAACCAAAGTGTTGACATCTTGTGAAAAAAGAGATGTGTACCATTACAAGAAAGCGCCAGTTGGAGGAAAGACAATATGAAAGACTAGTAGACATATTAACAACGCTTCACACAATGATAACATGACACATTGTATTTGTGTCCGCAATATTGAATCTCTAGGAAAAGGAAATCGGAAATCCCTGTTGAAAAGGAAAACGATGTACCTATTTATAGTAACCAAACCAAGCATGGGTTTTACCAGTGTGCTGTGACGAGAACTGTTGTGACTGAGCCGAGGCGGACGTGTTCCAACCCGACAGACAGGAGGCATTGTTGTGTTCTTTTTAGATACACAGACAGAGCCATGACGTCATCTACTGTACATGGCATTAGTTTTCAAATTGAGAAACAAATATCATTCGTTCCATACTGTTGAATAACAAATGACGTATATGAATGAATTAGCTCTCCTTTCATTTTGTACATATGCATGCTGGTGCAGGGAGCAGTGACAGAGCAGCTGCAGAGCATTGTCAGATGCAGGATTAATTGTTAATTTCACAAAACACATGTGGCCCGAGAATATGATCATAGAACTTACCTTGCAACACTGCCTCGAGTCGTGTGATACAGGTATGTCTATGTCCCTTGACCGGGAATATTGTCTTATACTTCCTTGTTAAAACGAAAGTAGGGGTGCAGCGATTCGATATGGCGTGTTGCCAATT